AACGCGCATTATTATTATTTTTTGCCATTTTTTCAATTTGCAAAAAATGAAAACCACATCGCAAGTAGAAACTCCACCATATGTTATACATTTCCTCGGATATTTACAAATATAAGATTTCAACTTATAAAACGATTATTAAATGCTAATTTAAAAATTATCAAATATAATCTTCCGATTTCATTTTAAAAGATCTTGTCCTTTTGCACAATTCAAAAAAACGATGGAACTTTCATAAGCAAATTAATTAAACATTTTGCTTGAAGGTATTGTATATATTTATATATGTGTGTATAAATGCATTATATATTCAAAATATACATCTGAAAACTATTAGTAATTAATTTGGTTAAATTGAAAATTCCCACAAAAGAGGGAAGCAGAGAAGCGAACCGATAAAAGTCTTCGACGTATCCTACCAATCTCTAAACCTAACATTATCCACACACTCACTTTATATTCCGTACATAATACATTCATTGATATGGAAATCTATGTATTGGATGGTTTTCCCTTTGTGTTACGTTTTTTTTTTCCGTTCGTGTAATGTATTTATTTACATTTTTATTTACTTTAATGTTTTTTTTATGTGGTATCATATGCTTTTGGTTTTCATTTATTTATGGGGACAAGAGCCCTATATTCTCTTATGCAAAAGAATATTCCAACCTTAAATTTTTTATATTCTCTTACATTGCATGACATGCATGCGTCTACTCTCCACCACTAATACGTGCATCTATACTCACACACGGGCTGATTCAAATATTTGGTGAATCCTGTCAATATATATTTTTGTTTAGAAATAAAAAATTTAAATATATATATATGGTAATATACAAGAACCATAAAAACAACTTTGTTAATCACTGTTTTAAATATTTTTTCTTACGATTTTTTTTATTTTTTAATGATTATCTGTTAAATATATTTCTATTTAATAACACTGTTTTTAATCATAATTGTCAATTTATTATTAATTATTATGATTCGAATGATGTACTATATGTAAATAAAAGTTAATATTGTTTGCTAACAGTAAAATTGATAGTTATCTTTGAACCAAATTCTCTTTTTAAAAATATGGTTAAAATATTTAAAATATAAAAATTGTGCTCATTTGGTAAACAAAATTTGGTGTTAATAAAAAAATTAATTTGTGATAAAATGGTTATCAAATATAATTTTTTTAGTAGAAAAATATTTTTAAGAACAAAAAAAGTGGAAAAAGATAGCGGATATTACAAAAATGAAAAAAAGTATGACTAAATTGACTATTTACCTCTAAAACGTAAATGCCATATATATATATTTATATCTTTTTTTTGTTAACTATATATGTATATCATTGATTTACCCTACGAGCAAACTAAGATATTCCCAATAATTAATTAATTATTACCGGCATCTCAATAGATACTATTTTTTATTTTTTAAAAATAGTTCAACCACTCATTTCCCATATAGCTTCTAAACAAATCTTGATGCGTTATATTGATAGTATATATATAGATATAATTATCTGCCGAATTATACAGACCACATATATAATCCCTGTGTTAGAACATATTTGAATCCGTAATATTGGAACTTATATTTAATAACGCTGCTACAATAGGTGCTCTCCTCTCACTTTGATTTAGGACTTTCTCTTACGAATATTAAATATTTTTTCCATCTAAATTTCACTGCGAAAATTTGGCAAATCTACTAGATTCTATCACTTCAAATTCTGAAACATAGTTTTTTTTTTTTTTTTTTTAAAGCGGCCTAATTAAACATTTTGCTTGAAGGTATTGTATATATTTATATATGTGTGTATAAATGCATTATATATTCAAAATATACATCTGAAAACTATTAGTAATTAATTTGGTTAAATTGAAAATTCCCACAAAAGAGGGAAGCAGAGAAGCGAACCGATAAAAGTCTTCGACGTATCCTACCAATCTCTAAACCTAACATTATCCACACACTCACTTTATATTCCATTCATTTTTGGTAAAAGACGAAATAATCTTGAAATACATTCATTTTGAAAGTGGGCAATCTGGAATTAAAATTAGTTTTGGTACAACTTTTTAGAAATTAAATTAACCGAATATCATGGGTGAATATAATTTAAAAAAAGGAATATGACAGAATTTTCAAAAAAATATATATATAACTCGAAAATGCCTACAAATTGAACATAGAAACGAATATAATAGATGTAATTTAAAAAAATAAACTGAAAATAACTAACAGAAGTTCAAATATTAATCCTTAATTTCACAGCCATTGTTGTTAACAATCGAAGATTAGTATACAGAAATACATAAGAGTGGAAATTATACGAAATAAAAAGAAGATAATCGTATGTCTTATTTTAAAAAAAAAAGAGAGAGAGAGAGAATTGAAAATTTTAAAAGAAAAATCCATATAACATAACTTTGTCTAAAAATACTATATAAAATTATAAATACTGAAATTTTAATATTGAAATATGAAGTTTAGGGTTTAAAATTTGACAAGATTAAAATAGTTTATTTTCGAAATGACACTCATGAAACCATTCATTTTTATTTTTTAGAGTTTCAAAACTTTAGTATTAATCTTGGCGAAATATATGAAATTTTCTCCGGTTTTAAAAAAGAACACGTTTTAATTTCGAGGTGAATTCACTAAATGGGCTTAGCATCAAGGCCTAACAAAACTCAAGTTGGGCTGGGCTAATCCAAACCCAATTTGACGGCTCATTCTCTGCCACCGTTATTTTTTGACGTCGTCGGCTGTGTTTCCGTTAACGGTAAAATGTTACTCCCGTATTGCCACGTGGCAAACACTACGTGCCAACAGCTTACGCGTGTCAAAATAATCCTTAGTTTTTTGGGGAAAACATATATTTTAAAATGATTTTTTAAAAAAATAAAATAAAAAGAGAGAAAGAAACTTCTTATCCACTCCTCTCTCGTGTAAGCTTTTTTTTTAATCCATTTAAATCCCATTCCCACTCTCTCTTTAACCTTTCTAAATATATATACACATATATATATATATATATGTATATTATATACATATACATGTTAGATGTATAAGATCAAGATCTGAGATCTGGGAGCCGTCTGAAGAGAAAGGGAGAGGGAGAGGGGAAGAAGACAGAGAGAGATGAGGACGTTATACGGTGTCGTTTTCGTGTCCTTGTCATGCAGTTGCTTCATCTCCTCCATCCCATCTTCTATTTCACTTGAATCTCTTTGAGATCTTGGTTTTATTTTTCTTTAGTTATGTTTTCTTTGTTTTCTTGATCTATATGTGCGTATCTTTGATGTGTTATTTTATGATATTGTTTGGTATTGTTCATCCTTTTTTTTTAGTGATGATGTTATATCCTTAACTAAGATGTTTTTTTGTTGTTAAATTCTAGCTTCAAGTGCTCTCTCTCTATCTCACACACACATGCATACATATATATGTATATATATATATATGATATCTGTCTCCACAAAGAACACTTGATATACTAATTAGGGGTGAATCTTTGGGTTCGATGTAAGAAAATCGAATATTATAGTTTTTAAAAATAATAGAATTTAAACAATATTAAAATTTCAAATACACGGTCTTTGATATTAATTTTTTGACAATTCATTTTTTTTTTTGTCGCTCAAGCATTTCTTCCCGAATAATTAACTGGCAAAATTCATATTTTCATGAGATAGAGTCTACAAACTAACAAAATCCTAATTTAAATCCATTTCTTTAATTACTACAAAATCATTTGTGCCCACCAAAAAACAAATATTGCTCCAAATACGAATGCCTAGTTATTTCGTTTCTTCATATGAACGAGGGCCCATTTCATCATATTTTGGGCCTCGTAATTCATTCCTAATTATATAGGCCCATGTGAGGGGAAAAGCCCACGCCCATATATTACCTTGATATTTGCCTTTCCTTTCTACAATATTATTTTCTCTCTGTAAAATGGCTAGAGACAAGAGCGATTTTGATTAGGTTATAATAGGAACGAAAATTTCGATTAGGATTTACCAAAATCAAAACCAAAATTTAACCATATTTGATATAAAACCGATTATGCATAAGTTTTCTTAAACCAAATTGTTTGGAGTTTTGACTTTGAGATATCTTTATATTGAGATTATGATGACTTAGAGATATCCAAAGGCTACTATTGGAATCTTTATAGAGTTTGAATGAATAGGAGGTTCTGTATTTAAAGTACATGTTTTATATTTTGGAATGTTGTCCTGTAATGATTACGACTTATATATATATAAACCGTGATAATTAGGGTTTAATCTTTATACATATCATGATAAAATGTCATGATGACTATTAATCCAAAAACTATTGGTTTGTATCGATCGGTTTGAGATAGATTCATAGAATTTCGTATATAACTGAAAATTGCATAATTCAGTAATTAATAATCACAATAAAATAATATCCATTCAATTGAATTATTTAAGGAGAATGACTAAGACACAAGATAAGTAATCTAAATTATTTTAAAAATAAATATATTTTTTATACATATATTTACATTTAATTAAAAGCATCTTATTGTAAAATAGATAGTGGTATGTCACTCCTTGAGTTATTTTATGAAGAAAAACACCCTATCAATGTACCCATCAACCGCATGGTCGATAACGTCAAATTAATATATATATATATAAGATTGATGATGAGGTGACCACATTTTTTTTTCAACCAATTGGAAATCGACAAATACTATTATGTATTTTAAATTGAAAAAATATATATATTTTGAAAGGCAGAAGTGAGAACGAAGTAATTCGTTAGTTGTAATCTCTAATGTTTTCATTTATTTATTTATGGAAATTAATTTCAAAAACTGAGGCAATAATCCTAAATCACGACAAAGGATAAGAACACTTCAGTAATAAAAAAATCAAAAGTTTATAATTAAAAAAATAAATCGATGTGTATCCACCTGAAGGAAGATAACTAACAATATAATTCATTGTTGGGTTCAGGAAAACACCTCATCCTTCGTCAGCTTCTTCTTCTACCTTCTCACGACCAAAACTCTCTCTCTCTCTCTCTCTCTCTCTCTCTCTCTCTCTCCATGTCAAATCATCCTCTCACGAAACATCTGTCCTCTGCTCTCTCTGTCTCTCTCTCTCCCCCATTTCCTCATTTCTCCCTCCATTTCGGACCAATACCCACCAAAAATAAACCTGAAGATCGCTGAGAGACGCTTTCTGAGCAGCGAAATTCCGAAAGGTTTGCTAAATATTGGACTCTCCGGTTCCATTATACACCATCGGATCCCACAATCCCCGCCGATTCGCTAAATATCCTCTGTTCCTTTCTCTTTGTGCTCCCTTCTTGCCTCCCCCCTCTCTCTCTCCGGCGTATACCCGCCGCCGGTGATCCGTCTGCTGGGGCTTTGATTTCCGGTTTCTGTTTCTGGGTCTTTCTGTTCAACACGAAACATAATCTGGGTCGTCTTCCTCTTCTTCGAATTCCGAGAATCAGCGATCGATTTTCTAGAGGACCAAACAAACGGGTCCTTTAGGTTTTCGACGAGGCGAGAAGAAGAAGATCGAGGAAGCCCTCTCGGAGCTAATTTTTCTGATCGTTATCTCGTTTCTGATCTTTCCTTCTTCTTCTCCGGCGACGACGACAATGTCCACGACGTTGCGTTTCGACACGAAGCAGATGCCGTCGCCGATCCGTACGACTACGGACACTCCGTCGTCGTCTCCTTCTCTCAGCCGGAGACAGCCTCTCCTCAAACGGAGCCTCTCCATGCCCACGACGCCGAGGGCTTCTTCCTGCACCGGCGGAGCCACGGCGGCGGAGTTCTGCGGCGGCACCACGGCGAGTTGCGCCGCCGTCTGGTGCTGCTGTCCCTGCGGCCTCGGAAAGCTCCTCGTCCTCGCCGTCTACAAAGTCCCGGCGGGCCTCTGCCGCCGTGCCCTCCGTCACCGACGCCGGAAACGTCTCGTGAAGAGCGGGCTACTCCCGCCGCAGCATCCTCCATCTCTGCCGGAGACCGACCGCCGCGGACGCAATCGTTTCGGGAGCTCGGAGTTCGCGGTGCACCCATTAGAGAGCAGGGACGTCTCCGACGAAGACGACGAGGACGATTTCTTGGAGCTGAAGGTATTCGGGAAATCATCAATGGCGACGCTGCTTGCAGCTGAGGCGGCGGAGGAGGAGGAAGACGCGGCGGTGATGGCGTTGGAGAAGGAGATGTGGAACAGATTTTACGGCGCCGGATTCTGGCGAAGCCCGTCGCAACGGGAAACAGTTCCGTCCCCGAGATCGTCGATGAAGGCCGTCCTGCCCTCTCCACGGCCGTCCTTCACCGGAGGGTACTGGAACATGACGGTCGGAGACCACGGCGCGACGGCGGAGACGCCGAGAGGCATCAGGCAATGAAGGGAAGATAATGTGTGTGTTTTTCCCACGCGTGAAGATATGGTTTTGTAAAAAGCGTGTCCCTTTTCCTCAACTATGATCGATTTGTGTGATCTTTGGTGTGAATTTATCTACTTTCAAAATCCAATTATGATTTCGAAAAGGGTTTCCAAAACGAAAATTTGGTGATTCTGTAATGTGTTGTCGAAGGAAGACTAGATGCATCATGTTGGTATCATACGACAAGAAACAAGACAGAATCTATCATGTGTTTTTTGTCACGTGGGGTCTCGACTCGAGTCCCTATCTTTAGGGCATGTCACTCATTATGTGTCTCTCGAGGAGCCGTACAAGCAAGACTCTAGAGATCTAATTACACTGAATCATATGAGACTACCCCCGAAAAAAATGTAAATATAAAAATGGAAATATAAAGCAAATTATTAGTTGGGTAATGTCCCGAAAAGGAGCATTTTGGTTGGGTTTATTAAATATTATCCACACACCTTCGTCTTTGATGATATACTGTTGAAATGCATTAAAGAGGTTATATGAAAAATATATGTGATTTATTAATCTAGAAAGCACGCTATAATAATGTAATTAACCTACCATGATATGTAATGAATCTACATATAGACTTTCATTTAGAAATATAAAGAGATTATATGCCTTTGAATATTAGATGGAGTGGTGGGTAGTTATATATCATAATGGCAAAAGCTATCACACATGACGTGAGATTATTTCAAAATTTAGTTTTTTTTTAAAAAAATTATCTCCTATTTGAATATAGATGGTTAGTAATAATAATAATAATAATTACAATTATCAGAACATATATGATTAAGTTCACATAAAATGATTCAAAATTGGGTGGTTCAATCGGTAAACAAAATAGCAAAATTCCTTCTCAATCCGGGTTTAAGTCTTCATAGACATTCACATGGGTTTCTCCGGTCCTTTTTTGAAGATGTAGTCGAACCAAATAATAAAGAGAACAGATGTCGATATCAGAAAAATGCGAGAAAGCAGGGGTTCGGAGAAGTATATCTAAATGTGTGTGGTCTAAATAATAAATAATAAAGAGTTTTGGGGTCAAAATGTAAGACAAAGAAATCGGCCTTCGTGTAAACTGTCCTTTTCACGTTGCTCGTGGGTTTTCCTGATTTCGTTTTTACCCCTACCCTGAACATTAACTCCTTTTTTTTCCTACACCCACTTTTTTATTTCTATTGTCTATGTTCCTTTTTTATTACATTTTCTATATATATATTTTTTGTTTATATTATCTTATTTTAGTAACAAGTACACATTTACTTGTAACGTGTTCATTGAATTTATGCGGAATTCCATGGAAGAGTTTCCGTAAAAAAAAAATGGGATGGACAACAAAGCTCAAAAAACCACTTGAAATGGTAGAAATGCGGTCCATATTGTCATATTAATTAAAGATATATATATATATATATATATATATATATATATTCATTTATCATTGTCAATCCGTGACATGAATATTGTAAAATTTTCACATTTATTTTCATACTAATTATGTACTTTTGGTTCATTTACATTTATTCATATGCTCCTCCATAGTACATAAATGTCAGTCCAATATTAAAGATTAATTAAACTGATACCAAGTATTTTGTATTTAGAAAAATGATCGGGTTTGAGTTTTATTTTTCGGGTTTTTAAATAAATCATACGTGGATCAGCTTCATCAAAGTATGTAAAATGAGTAGACAATACAAGTTTTCATATATATATATATATATATGTGTATATATATTATATGTGTGTGGATTAGGTGTTAGCACTTTAAAATATACTAAAGATTTGAATTTATTTATTTTTTAGATGTGGGGTTGCATAAAGTCAAAATGATCTAATAGTTGCCGACTGGCTATTACGACTACGTTGATGATTTTATTTTGATTTGGTAATTAATTAATAATAATAATATATATTATCATTATTAATTATTCCAAGTCGGAGGGCCACGAGTACATGTTGAAACTATTTCAACGTCACCTTTCGGCTCTTTCGGCGACATTTTTATTTTATATTATATATATATACACGTACGTGTATGTATACATGTATGTCCCTTCAGCTCTCACTTTAACATTAGAAATTTATAATTAAAAAAATAACAAGAGTTTTGAGGTTTTTTTATATATATAAGCCGAAATGTAATAACGAATGGGCCTTGACCCAAATCAATGACTCTTTGAACCCATTGGTCCACTATACAAAACGGAAGAGGCCATATCCTTTAAGCCGAAATGAAATAACAAATGGGCTTTGGCCCAATTTGTCTATAAATGGGCCTTGGCCCAAGTTGTCTACAAATGGAGATCCCCATAATTTTGGACCCACTCCTTTTTCCATATACCACAAAACAAAACAAACCCATCCTACATGAACTCCTATACAATTTTTGTGATTAATGATATAATTATTAATAATAATTATTATTTTGCACTAATAACAAAATATTAGTATGTTTGAGTCATTGAGAATCTAATATTTTATAAATCTATGAGACTAATAATAAGATATATATAACACCAAACGAAATTTAGCGTATGGATGGATTTAATAGATATATAATATTTAGAGATGGTATCGTGAATGTGCATGAATAATTTTTTTTAATGAGAAGAACCACGTAGAGGTTGCTGTGGCATATGGTTTTTTCGATCAAATTAGGTCGAGGCAAGTGCAGAGAAATTCTAAATTTATATATAAAAAAGATTCAAGTATTTTTAATATGTGAACGAATAAATACATTTTTTAAATATTAAACTCTAAATGATTAGATATTTTATATTATTAAGATTTTTGGTAGATTCAATAACAAGTTTAATAAATTATTAAATGCAATAATTAGAATAAAAATATAGTATTTTTAAGATATTTATTTTAAAATTTGTCCAATTTCGGATTTTCCCACACATTTTTCAGGCGGGAACAGTAAAAGTAAAAGATGCTTCGCGCCAGCTGGCGAGGAAAGGAAACGCCGTCATCGTTTGGGCGAGGAAATGTACGCGCCAAAGAAAGGCGCGTGAGCGGTGGTTGATCAGTAAGTACAAAGCTTAGCGTAGCATTAAAAACAATAATAATAAATAAATAAAATGAAGGGTAGTATTAGGTCAGACACCGACAGCTTCTTATGAAGCCACGTGTTCATCCCTCTTGCTCGGCTCCTTCTCTGCTTAGCATTCACATGCTCACTTCTCTTTTCATTATTTTCGCTTTCATTTTCTTTTTTTTTTCACTTTTTAATTTTGTTGTTTTGCCCGTTTATCAATTCGTTATCGTCATTAGGGGTGGTCATTTCGGTTATTAACCGAATAACCGAGTCGAACTGAACCGAATAAGACATAATCATATCCGAACCGAACCCGACATCAAAACCGAACGGTTATGATTTACTTAAACCCGAAAAATCGAAACCGAAACCGAACCGAATAAAAAATAACCGAAAAAACTGAGAGAATAATCGATATTTTCTTTGGAAAATTGAACTTTTTACCAAAACCGAACCGAACCCGAACCGAAAAATAACCGAACCGAACCGAACCGGAATTTATATAAAAACCGAATGGTTATAGTTTTTCTATAACCGAAATAACCGAACCCGAATATAACCGAACCGAACCCGAACCGAAACCCGAATTGACCACCCCTAATCGTCATCATCAAATAAATAAGAAAATAATAATTTATTAAAAGAAAAATTGTTATCATATTTCTGCAGTTAATTGTTATCATTTGATTTTAGTGAATTTTTTTAATACTTATTTATTTCGATTAGATTTTCAATTTGAAAAGATTTGATATGTAAAATTTCACTTACTTTGAATTTGATTTTCATTAATACACATATTCCAAAAAAATTAAAGTAATATTTCACATTAATTTAATTTTTAAAATATAGTAAATTAATTTTTTTCTCAAATATTATTTTTTATGGCTAAAAACTTTTAATGACGAATTATTAGTTAACCTTTCCATTTCACGGTGGCTATATTTTATCCTTTCTTCACATTGACCCTAACGCGGTCAATAGTTCAAATATCAATGTTCATAGCTTCGCTTATAAACAAAGCTAAATACACCAAAAGTTACCACATTTATCTATTTTCTTATAAAAACAGGTATAAAAAAATGATATTTATAGTATTCATTTAACTATAACATTATAATACCATATACAATATACTTCAATCAAAAATGTCTTTGCTGGAACAAATATATTTGATACTAACAATTATATCTCTCTATATATAACAAATAATTAATTATTTGGTTATAAAAATAACTTTTTTCCCAACGCGAGTTATAAAATAAAATATTCAAGACTTTTAGGGTTTAGTGATGTTGAAGCCGCGCCAAGCCGCGCCAAGCCGCGCCGAGTGGACAAGAACTAAAAAGAAAAAATAAAATTTCCGGCACCGTGTGGTCCCCACCCCTCAACAGCCTGTCCGAAAACCCACAAAACCAGTTGCTGAAACTTAACTTTACATTACACTCACACAGCGAGCCTCTCTCTCCCTCTCTCTCTCTCTCTCTCTCTCTCTCCCCGTTTCTCTCTCTCTCTCTCGCCGACGCTTCCAGAAAAAAAAAAAAACAGCGAAGGCAATTTTTTCTTCCTGTATTCGGATCAACGAACGGCCAAAGAAGAAAAAGAGATTACCCAAATCGTTGAGAGCGCCATGGATCGTGGCATCTATGGTGTCTCCGTCGCCGTCACCATTCTCTCTCTCCTCTTCCTCTCTTCCTCCGCATCAGCATTGCCTCAGAACCCTACAGCAGAACCGGGTCGAAATCTGTCATCCGGGTCGGGTTCGGGTCTGATCAACTCCAACTCCGTCCTCGTCGCTCTCCTCGATTCTCGTTACACAGAGCTCGCCGAGCTCGTCGAGAAGGCTCTTCTCCTCCAGACACTCGAAGACGCTGTCGGCAAACACAATATCACGGTCTTCGCCCCTCGCAATGAAGCTCTCGAGCGAGAGCTGGATCCTGAGTTCAAGCGGTTCTTGCTCGAACCCGGCAACCTCAAATCTCTGCAAACCCTTCTTATGTTCCACTTTCTCCCCAAACGTGTCGGGTCTCACCAGTGGCCCGACGAAGAATCGGGTCTCGTCAGGCACGAGACGCTCGGACAAGACAATGTGCATCTGAGCAAAATCAAGAAAACGGGTAAGAGAATGGTGGATTCTGCCGAGATTATCCGACCCGACGACGTGACCCGACCCGACGGCGTGATCCACGGGATCGAGCGCCTTCTCATCCCCCGCTCTGTGCAAGAGGACTTCAACCGCCGGCGAAGCCTCCGGTCAATCTCCGCCGTCTTACCCACCGGAGCTCCTGAGGTTGACCCGAGAACCCACCGTCTCAAGAAACCCTCCGCCGCCGCCGTACCCGCCGGAGCTCCACCGGTGCTCCCGATCTACGACGCCATGGCTCCGGGACCTTCCCTCGCTCCGGCGCCGGCGCCGGGACCCGGGGGTCGTCACCACCACTTCGACGGCGAGGCCCAGGTGAAGGATTTCATCCAGACTCTGTTACATTACGGTGGGTACAACGAAATGGCCGACATTCTCGTGAATCTGACATCCTTAGCGTCCGAGATGGGAAGGTTGGTGTCGGAGGGTTATGTCCTAACGGTTCTTGCTCCGAACGACGAAGCCATGGCGAAGCTGACGACGGATCAGTTAAGCGAACCAGGAGCTCCTGAGCAGATCGTGTATTACCATATAATACCAGAGTACCAGACGGAGGAGAGTATGTACAATGCGGTTCGGAGATTCGGGAAGGTGAGGTACGACACATTGCGGTTCCCGCACAAGGTCGTGGCCAAGGAGGCTGATGGGTCGGTGAAATTCGGACACGGTGATCGGTCTGCGTACTTGTTCGATCCCGACATTTACACGGACGGTCGGATCTCGGTTCAGGGGATTGACGGGGTTCTGTTCCCGGAGGAGGAGACCGAGACGGCGAAGAAACCGAGCAGTGCCGTCAAGAAAGTTGCGCATCCAAGAAGAGGTAATTGATCTCTGTCGTTCTGATTGCTTAGAAGTTAGAATCAAGTTCAAGAATTGGTTCTGTCGAATTAGGAAAGTCTTGGATGACAAAACCGAAGTTGGGTAATTGATCTGATGTCGATTCTAACAATGAATCATTGTGGGTAATCATGGGTTTGATGTGTCATCGCCAATGGCTTCCTAGTTTGCTTTAGATTGGCCAAATTTGTCTCAAAGGCCTCAACTTTGGTTTGTGTGCATTCTTCTGGAGTTGCATTCTCTGCAAAATTAGGGTTCTTAGTATTATATTGTTAGATTCTCTGCATAATTCTGTAGGAGTAGTGGAGAAAGCATTAGATGCCAAATGCATATTAGGAAGATTTTTTACTTGTTTTGGAGAATATTGAGAGGTTTCAATAGGAAGCATTTGTTTTTGCTGTCCACAAGCATCTTCTCACGTTTTCCCACCTTCCCTATGGTTTGTTAATTTAATCTGTTTTTTTTCCTAATCATACACCGATATTATTTAATTACAGATCATGATTAGATCATGATGGGTTTGCCTAATACAGCTTTTAATCTCTGTTAATGTGGGAAACACAACAGGGAAGTTGCTGGAAGTGGCTTGTCGAATGCTCGGAGCTTTTGGCCGTGGCTCGGATTTTACCTCGTGCCGGTGAATGCACTGCGAGATAAAAGACGATGAAAAGCTTCGAATCGTTGAAATCATTCCAAAGGTTAATACCCGAATCATACATTTTCTCTCTCGTTATTTTCGGGTTTGATTCATTGGGAAAATGGATGGGAAAGATCATTGTTTGCATCTGCAGGTGGAATGTGGAAGAAGAAGAAAAGACTGAGGAAGGGTGAAACCGTCATTCCATGGAATGAGGTCCTTTGTTTTGTGGATTATGAATACTGTAAATTAGTTTATATACTAAATTCATTTTTTTAATTAATTTGGTGTACGAGTTTTTATCATATCATAAAGTGGAAGAAGAAGAAGAAGAAAAGCCTTGAGGGGGAGAACCTTTCCTTTGGTCCCACGGATTTGTTCGCTTTGTTCTTTTGCACTTTTTTTTTTTGTTTCTTTTGACTTTTTTTGGATGTGTGGCAAAGAATATCTCCATTATGGAAAGAGAATAATCCTATGCATATCATCATCATGGGCATGATCATCATCATCATCATGGGCATGATCATCATCATCATCATGACCAGATGCTTCATATTTGTGGTGCGATTCATAATATTATCATTAATATGTGGTGGTGGTGAGTTGGCTTTTCTATTATTGAGATCCAACACAACTCTAACTTAGCTGTTGTCGGTTCATCATTGTCAAGGTCTTTGTAAAATAGATAAAATTATCTGTAACATTTGTTTCGATTTTTAAAACTTAGTTTAAATCGAATATATGAGTTGTTTAATATAATTATACTACATACAACATATATATAGTTATAATGTACATATATTAAAATAATATTACTTTTTATGTGTACATATATATATATCGGTATAAAAAATTCCGTGGATGATAAGACATCAACAGTGTGTAATAAGTTTTGTAGATATTCTTTTTTCATAAATATTGCAATATCTATTTGTAGATATTATATTTCAAAATAAGAGCTCTAATAACACAATTTTTTGTTTCTCGTCTTGGCTTGTTAAGTTGCGGGGGACAAAATTGACAAGTAGCCCAACATGATTCACAAAGGCACCGCAGCCGCAGGGCTGTAGAAATTATATTTCAAAATAAGAGGTGAATTCTTAATATTATCAAGAAAATAGGGCCATATATGCAATTAACCCTAAAGGAAAATTTAACGGACTTCTCTGACCGACCGTTATCTTCCTCTTCCATCAGGACATCTCACTCTAAAACAACTGAACTAAAAGAGATCACTGCGAAATCTGTAATGAAGATTGTGGTTCGGTTCAAGTCCGTCGTTTTGATTTCGAACCGAAGATTCCCACTCGTTTTCTTCTCAAGTCTCTCAAAGTCTTCTAAACCAAAAAACAGAGAGCCTCCATTGAAGAGCCGAGCAGAACCTAGCATCGCTTCGCTCTTCAACGAGATAACCGACATTCTAGGAGCTGATGTCGTTGCTACAGATGAAACCCAGTTCAGGTTTCCAGTTTCCAGGGAAACCCACGCGAGGGATAATGTTCGGGGTGAAGCTTCGTGTTCACGCACGCAAGACGTTCGTGAAAATGCCGGAAAGGGCTTGTCGGGTGAGGAAGAAAGTGTCCATGTGATTAGCCATGAGGAAATCGACGTCAGCCCAGTGGTTCATGAGATAACGAGGGTCATCAGGAGAGATGAAGACGTTGTTCCAATGGAAGATAGGTTAGAGAAACTGGGTTTTCAGTTTGAGCCAGAGATCGTGGAGAAAGTACTCAAGAGGTGCTTCAAGGTGCCTCATTTAGCCTTGAGGTTCTTCGATTGGGTGAAGAACAAGGATGGGTTGTCACTTACGACCGCAACTTACAATACAATGTTGTGCATAGCTGGGGAAGCTAAGGAACTCGGTATGGTAGACGAAATAGTGAAAGATATGGAGAGAAAATCTTGTGAGAAGGATATCAAGACTTGGACTGCTCTTATCGCGGTATACGGGAAAGCAAAAAAGATAGGACAAGCTCTGTCCTTTTTTGAGAGCATGAGGAAAAGTGGGCACGAGCCTGATGCTGCAGCTTACAAGATCATGATAAGGTCTTTATGCGTTGCAGGGAGAGGTGATATTGCACTTGAATTCTACAGGGAGATGGTTGAAAAGGATATGGCTTTCGATCCAAAATCATACAAGATATTGCTGGATTGCATAGCGAGATCAGAGCAATTTGATGTAGTTCAGTCTGTTGCGGATGACATGGTTAGGATATGTGATATTTCAAAGCATGAAGCTTTTGGTTGTTTGCTGAAGAGTTTATGTATTTCAGGTAAGATGCGAGAAGCCCTGGAACTGATTCGCGAGTTAAAGATCAAAGAAGTGTGTCTCAGCCCTAAATATTTCGAGATTTTGGTTAAGGGTCTCTGTAGAACCAACAGAATAGCAGATGCACTTGAGATTGTCGATATAATGAAGAGAAGAAATTTGGTCGATTCAAATATTTACGGGATTGTTATCAGCGGGTACCTAAGGAAGAGTGATATCCCTAAAGCACTTGAACTGTTAGAAATCATGAAAAATTCAGGGCATTCACCTTCAGTTCCCACATACACAGAGGTTATGCAACACCTCTTTGAGACGAAACAATTCCAAAAAGGTTATGACCTGTTCAATGAGATGATACAGAATGGAACTGAGCCAGATATTGTTGCTATCACAGCTGTGGTTGCTGGTCACGTGCGCCAAAATCGCATATCGGAAGCATGGAAGGTGTTCAGTAGTATGGAGGAGAAGGGCATCAAGCCGACGTGGAAATCTTATTCCGTATTTGTAAAGGAGCTCTGTAGGGCATCAAGATATGATGAGATCCTAAAGCTACTTAATCAGATGCAGACATCCAAGATGGGTATCAGGGATGATATGTTCTCTTGGGTAATATCTTGTTTGGACAAAAAGGGTGAAAAGGAGAAGATAGAGAAGGTACGAGAAATTCAGAGAAAACGCAAATTCTATTCCCAAGAGCGGAGAGAATCCAAAAAAGAGCTTGGGGAGGAAGAGGAAGTAACCGGTGAATCAAAATTTTCACTACCGGACCAGAAGCAGGCAGCCGTTCCAACACCTTCATCAGCTGTGAATGAGATGGATGTAAAAGAGATTTGTCGCTTGTTGTCCTCTTCTACAGATTGGAAAAGAACCCAAGAAGCTCTTGAAAATTCAAGAATCGAGTTTAACCCACAACTAGTGGTCGAGGTTCTCCGCAATGGCAAGATACAAGGTAATGCAGTTCTGCATTTCTTTTCATGGGTGGGGACTAGAAGTGATTATGAGCACACTTCGGATACTTACAATATGGCCATCAAAGTTGCTGGCACTGCAAAAGACTTCAAGCATATGAGGAATCTCTTTTACGAGATGAGAAGAAGAGGTTGCTTGATAGCACAAGATACATGGGCAATCATGATAATGCAGTACGGCAGAGCCGGTCTAACTGATATTGCGCTGAGAACATTCAAAGAGATGAAAGATACGGGTCTTGTTCCAAAGACTTCAACCTTTAAGTGTTTGATCACCGTTCTTTGCCAGAAGAAAGGCAGGAATGTCGAAGAAGCAGTAAAAACATTTCGCCAGATGATTCGTTTGGGACTAGTTCCTGACAGAGAATTGGTCGAAGACTATATGAGATGTTTATGTGAAGTTGGTAACGTGAACGAGGCCACGAGATGTTTAGAATCTCTTGGCAAGATTGGTTTCTCCATCCCTCTGGTCTACTCCATGTACATCAGAGCTCTTTGCCGGGTCGGAAAACTAGAGGAAGCGCTGTTAGTTTTAGCAGGGTTCGAAGAAGATAGATCTCTGCTTGATCACTACACATATGGAAGCATCGTTCATGGTTTACTGCAACAGGGAAGGTTACAAGAAGCACTGGCTAAAGTGGATTCAATGAAGCAAGTAGGAGTAAACCCAAGTGTCCATGTCTACACATCCCTAATCGTTTACTTCTTCAAGAAGAAGCAACTGGATAAAGTTCTTGAAACTTACCAGAAGATGGAGGAAGAGGGTTGCAAGCCTTCAGTGGTTACCTGTACGGCCATGATCTGTGGATATATGACCATGGGGAAGGCTGAAGACGCTTGGACTGTCTTCAACAACATGAAAGAGAAGGGATCTTTACCGGATTTCATGACATACACAAAGTTCATGAACTGTTTGTGCCAAGCAGGGAAATCTGAAGATGCCATGAATCTTCTGTCTGAGATGCTGGATAAGGGTATCGCTCCGAGTACTGTCAATTTCCGGACAGTTTTCTACGGGTTAAACAGAGAAGGCAAGCAAGATCTTGCCCGGAATGTTTTACAGATGAAGTCGGGTTTAGCAGCCAAACGTAAGGTATCAAGATGATGTCTCTTAATCTTTTAGATAGGATATGATCAGGTCTCTTCAATGGTTTCATCCATCATTGACATTGATATTTTCAGCAAGAATCATGTAGAAAGGAAACGAACACAACCAGTAAATGCAGATTATGTATCTTAAAAGTAAATCTCAATAAATCAGAGTGATATACAACTGTTGTTCACAGTTTGCTACACCCTCTATATCTATCTCCTTCTATCAATTAAATATGCCGAAAATAGGAAGCTTCATGTAAGTAAAGTTTGAAACGTGAAGGTGAGGGACTACACCACTGGTAAGAGTGCTCACGGTTACTCCTGCAGCCATGAAGTAATGAATTTTGGCAAAAAGATCAAACAGCTCATGTATTAATGAAGAAAACGACTCATCCATCTCATATCTTCTTCACGATTTCTTCACAGGCTCGCTCGTAATAAGTCATTCTCTGTATGCATGTAGCAGCTTCATCGAACTTTTGGCTTTCAAATGCTTTGACAAAAGACCCGGACCAGTGCTTCAGTTTCTCTTGTATCTTGAGAAAATACAAGAAACCACATCAACTGGGATAGTAATTCAAGTTCAAAAGCTGATAAAGTTCAAGACATGAAACCACAGTCCTTGAAAAAGAATCTATCTTGCTTCTGTAATGAAGTATGAAAACATAGGATTGTGAAAATACCTGCAATCGGATCACGTTTAAGGCTTTCGAATCACTTGCTTCGGCAATGGCTTCTCTTAGCTCCATAATCTGAGATCACAACAATCAGATATCGAAATTATAAGTGTCTGGATTGATTTACTTTGCTACAGCTAGAGATGAGAGTGGCTTAGCTTCTTTGGTTTGCAGTAAGATACAGAGAGAGACACAACACCAAGGCAACCATTTCAAAGTTTATACACTTACCTCCATTAAAAACTGTGGATCAAAAATTCTTTCTTCTTCGTCAATATATATTCCATGCAACCTCATCTACGATATAGAACAAAAGAATTCAGATATGCATCTGACTCGAAGAGAAAGAATTAAGGAAGTCAAAATATGACAACCCGAAATGAAGTTGAATGATTTAAGAAAAGTCTCTCTAACTACTGTTACACATAAACTTCTGAAAGAAAAGAACAATTTGTGAATTCTGGCATCAATATGAAAAGCATAAGGGTCAACAAAGTCTTCTGAACATTCCAGCTCCTTAGCTCACATAAGCAGCAACCGTAAGCAAGGAACAGAAGAAGATGAGAATAAAATCTCGAAACACAATGTGAAAACCATGACTAAGACGAGCTTACTATATAGGTTGCTCTTGAAAGTGGCTTGGTTAGAGTCCGGTATGCTTCAGTCACCTTTCCAGACTGTTCGGCTGCGTAATCTCTCTCTTTCTACTAGCCAGAAGGAACAAACCGAAAGACAAAACCATAAGACATGACGACATTGAACAAAATGCTTTTCGTCCCTGAAAATGTACAAAACATACCTCGGATTTATTGTGGACTAAATCGGGATGCAGCTTCTTTTGCCAGTCTTTGTACTTCCTTTCAAGGCTTCCAACATCTATATCATACTTCTTCTCTCTGCCAAGAAGTTATATCATCGAATATGCAGTGATGCAACATTGAACAATTTTCAACGAAGAAAGGGATGGTAACGAAAACTAAAACTAAAACTTCCATTTACGCTTGATGCCAAAACATGGTTAGAGTCATTTCACAGAAAATGAGGTTTTTAGCATTCATATGGAATCCAAAAGTTTTCATCTTTGCATCCAAATCACACAGAAGCAACCTAAAGTTTTAATCTTTTCGATTCATCGTCCCAATTCCAACAAGAGAAACCCAGCGAGAGGAATTCATATCATCATATCAATACCCTCGTGATAGAAAAAACCACAGAGTTTGTTTCCATGATACCATACCCTAATTTGATTGTTCTCTGAACAGGTTACGCAACTTTTTCAAACGCTTTTAGCTACACTTCCTCACCAACAAAACCCAATACTAAGATTTTCACTCAAAACAAAACAAGAAAAACAAACGAGCCCAGGATTAGAATGACACTTACAGTCCAAAAATCTGAAAGTAATCGACGGAATCGTCGACAGGCTGAACACTACGGCAAGATTCACAGAACAAAAAGGGCAACCCTTCCGGTGAGAAACCACAGTTCCAGCACCTAGGGTTCTTCGTTTCGAGAGATTCCGAGCAGAATATTCTGCCGGAAAGTCGGAGTCCCAAGCGAGAATCTTTCCCCGGAATCCGCGAAACGTTTTCCAGAGATGACGTCGTGAAAGTGGATTCCCAACTCAAGTGGGTCTTCGAGCTCCGTGCGGAGAAGCGATCACGCAGCGAATTCGAAGAACGGGCATGCCTTAGAATGGTGGAAATCGAGCACACCAGTTTCTTTGTTCTGTTCATTGTTCTCTCTTCTGGGTTCTCCCACGGAAAATATAGAAATAGAAGTGTCGGACTTTAATAATAAATCGAGGTTAGGTTCCGTTGTCCGTTCTCTCTTCTGTTTCTGTCTTTATATAATTCGTATAAACTAATTGTAGAAACCCTAGGTAGGGTGGAGAGGGAGGATACCTGTCATAATTCTCCAATAAATTTTTATTTATTAAAAACCTAAATTAATATTAAAAAATTAAAATTCGTATGTCCAAATTGCCACGTAATTATTTAATCTTAACATTTCAATGACTGTTATTTGTAGCAAGCGATCCGACCCGACTAGAGTGAATTCGACCCGACCCGACCCGACGATTTCAAAACGTCATGATGAGAATTTCTTTTGTGAATCATTCGGTCTTTTGCCTCCGTGTGTCTTAAACCGAGACTAATCAGCTGAGAACCGGTTCGGTTTTGAGTGAACCGGTTCACAAAGAGATCTCTGGTTCTCACTTCATATGCACTGAGACAACTCACGCAAGCTCTGTTAACGTTAACACCTTTGCCAATGCCGAAAACTCTGCTAAGAAGATACAAACTGAAGAATCAACACTTCACCATAACCAAAATAAGCGATTTGACTGTATAACTCTGTGAACTCTCACACGAAAAACAATCTCAAGAATGGCGTGTCTTCGGCCTCGAACGATGAATTCAATGCCAAGACTTGAAGGCAAAGCAGCAAACTCGACGTTTTCTCGTTAGCTTCGGGTTCTTACCCCTGTTTAAGACGCCGATATCGTGCCTTTCTCCTGGCTCGGTCCGTGTCTGAATCTCAGTTTCTGACATTTGTCTGAAGTATGATGCTATTTCCGGTGTGCCCCTTATGCCGGCAGTGACAGTAGGTGTTGGAAGATCTTGCTCCGGTGATGCAGGAGCTATTCTGTTGTGAAGGTTCTCTCTTCCTAACGAGCTTGATCTGGTGCTCCTGCATTGTTCATAAGGTTGAATACTTAACAGATTCTGTATGACAAAACTCAGGAATCTTGTCCAAATTCAAGAATCTCAATACTTATGTATATGTATATGTACATGTATACATCTTACTCAATCACCATAGATAATCTTGGAAAACGATCGGTCAGTAGTACGAAAAACGGTAACTTTTGATATGGGCATTTACCGATTTACTAGTTCAGCGATGTATAGACAATTGATTATGGCCCGAGACGAGAAAAAGGAGGTTACAGACAAATTACCTGATGATATGGATGCTTGAGCCATCAATGGATTCATGTGAGATCCTGTCAAGAACTTGAGCTTTGTTATTAGGAACAACTCCATTGTTTTCTGATAAGCTTAGGACCTTGTCTGGTGGATCTTCTGCGATGTTTTCGGGCAATTCTCCGTCTGAAAAGCTCGAAGAAGATGTACTCTGGCCTCGTGTATCAGTTTGGTATCTTCTTACCATTGATATCACTCTCTCTAAAGTTCCTAGAGCTTGTTCCACCTCCGGGCTAACACAAAACCGTCTTTTACTGTTGACCCGACACTTGGCAGAGACATCGTTATCCTCGGAACCATCTCGGGAATACACGTTTTCTTCACAGTCTTCTTCCTCGATCTCGGAAAAAGTTTTTCTGCAGGGAAGAGGTTCATTTTCAATAGCACTTACATCAGAAAGCGGTAGATGTTCTTCATCTGACTCATTGTTTGGCAGATATCTGGCATCTTGTTCATGGCCTCCCGGTTTTGGATCTTTGTCTTTACCCTCCATTTTTTGGACAATTTCGTTTCGTGGGCCAACACATTCTCGGGTATTGAGCTCGATTTCTCCGCGGGCATCGTCTGGTTTATTGCTCGAGTACAGAGCTCGATGTATCTGAGTGTACATTGGATCAGCCAAAGCTTTACTGTAATCTTCATCAACTTTAGCCACAGAAGCAACAGCCTGTTCAAGAAAAAAAAAGGGACAGCATAGTTCAAGTCTGTTCTTACAAGCAAATTCAGTTGTCTGAAGCCAAGAATGTAGTAAGAAAACCGAGTGAACCTTCTTATACAGCCTGAAACCGTTCCCGACGAGCTGTCTCGAGATGAAGTTGATAAGCGATGGAGGTACAAGATCGAACTTAACGTCCATATCAGCAATCGTCCTGCAAATTTCAACAAATATCGGGTTTAAATCTTTACGACCCGACACATGAACCGAGCAGGTAATCTTCATCTTTTTTTCCACTCACCGGAAGTAACTCCTCTCGGGAGTTACCTTCTGTAAAGCGAAACCTCCTACCATGTCTATCCTCACGGCGTTCAACGCTTCAGGTATACCGTTCTTCTTGTCGAAGTCATTACTCGAGAATCCGATGCTCTCTAGATCTGAGATCTAATGTTTGTAATAAAACAATAGGCTTTCAGTTAATGTTTTAACTACCGAGGATAGGATGAGAAACCGGTTATTCTGGCTTACCGTGTTTACGAGGACAACGATTAGGCCATCTTTGAAGTACTCGAATAGGAAATAGTGAACAACAGCCTCTCTATCCGACATTGGCCACGGTACCTTCATCCTTTCGTCCCGAAACATCGAATTTTCAGCTCAGTTTCGGCAAAATAAGAAACGACAAACAGAAACGAGAATTCGGGTCCTTTTACATTTACATATGATATGAACATACCTCACTAAACATATCTGTTCACCGATCCACACCTTCTGCAAGCATCTGTTTTGTAAGACCTTGAACGATGGAAACGAAGTCTGTGGCCACCTGAGACAAAACAAGTAATATTAAGACATGAACAGAAACTGCTGTTCCAGGTACCGACATCAACAGAAGAGATGTCTGGATTGTATTAGATTCCGTAAGCAAGATTCCATCCATCGAATACTAAGATTATTCGGGAAGAAGACAAAGGGGAAAGAGG